CGCAAAAACAAAGGGGATCGAACCCGCGATTTTCGGAGATCTAATCTTAAGATTAGATCATAAACCGCGATAGGCCGACGCCCTAAAGCATGGATAAAAACAAAAAGAAATTGCCCTCGATGAGACTCGAACTCATGACCTTTGGATGTCTCAGTCTAATGACTGGGTCATATAAATCAGCTGTCGAATCGACTGCCCTTATATGAGACCAACGCGGTAACCAACTACGCCACGAAGGCTTTTGATGAAATCCAGTTGAGTTATTTTCTTATATGACAGGGGTTCAATGCTAGTGCGGCTGTGTGGGGCCGAGGCGAACAGGCACGAGTCCAGCCACTGCACATATTCCGAAAACTACAGCGGCGGAACGGAATAATGGAAATTGTGCGAGGACAGTTTACATAACGCGGTGGTCTTACCCTTTGCATATCTAATTCTCAGCGTGGAGAGTGGCTGGTTTGCTCGTCGCGACGTTGTGTACTTTTAGATGCAGGCCACTTTCATGTGGCCCGTGGATTAGATGCTGCAACCTGGCTAAAGCGGCGTTGTGTAAAAACTTGAGATTTCTGTCAAGAGTTCTTCTCTTTAAAGTGGTTTTTCTTATTGGGGCTATTTTCACGCGATTTTGTGAGGTGACGCCTTTGTAGGCTCGCTCGGTCGAGGGTGTTCCTATTGACCACCAAGTTCGGCGCTGGATCGCTTACAAACTGCGTGACTTCTAGAGCCAGAAAAAAATGTACATTGGACATGTATGTACTCTACCTACAGCTTTAGGTAACAGCGCGAGTGCCTCTCGGGCTCTGGGGAGCCTGCGATCGAGGCTCAGATACTGGCAGATTCGGCGTGCACTCATTCAGCCATGTGAGACGTTCTTGTATGACCCATATTGTCGCATTTACTCTTTGTAGTGGCTGTCCAGTTCGGAAAACCGACACGTTCTTGGATTGCAACCTGTCTGACTGCATCGCATTTGCAGAGGCCTTGTTAGGCATCGCTTGAAAGCATTTATGTGCAACATCACTGTTGCATTGTCCAGGCTCCCGCGACAGATGGAAGAGGGCATGACGTGGAGGTGGGCGCTTTCGAGTCCGGTGCTATGATTCGACTTTTTGTCAAATATACTGACGGACATAATTCGGTAGTGAAGTCCCGTCGTGTTTGTGTTGGGTGTGGCCAACGAGGCGGGTTGTCTGCCTGCGTCTGCCTGTCTGTGTCTCTGCCTACCTATGTGTCTGCCTGCCTGTAGCACGGGCGGCTTCTGCAGAGAAAAGGGGTTTCCAAAGGCTGGTGGCAGTGTTACTCTCATAATCACTGCAGTATATTTGCTTTCTCGTCGCACAGTGTGATATGGGCGAATCATAGGCACTACTCCATCATCCCATGATGCTGCAACAAGTCCGACTTGAGGAAGTCATCTGCACAGCCTTGAGCAAATTGGTGGCCTTTGTTTCAAGGTAATAATACCTGAAGATGATGACATATAAAAGGGCTGTTCAGTCGCGTCAACGCCAGTTGCCTTGGGTTAGAACCATTCGAGTGACAACTTCGACGTGAAGATGTCGACTTCTTCGAGAGACTTGCCCTCACCTGGCTCATCGGGCGGCGATAGCTCAGAAAACTTGAACGACTCTCATTGCTTTTCTTTGATCCCCAAAAATGCTCGCGCTGAGGAGTATGTTCAACGCGTGCATAAAGGCCGAGATGTGCTGTCTTTCCGCTACGACGATAGGGCAAGGGTCAACGCATGTGCCATTGTTTACATTGGTCCAAGCATTGACGACGACGACATTGTGCTGGGATCCGACAAAGAAGGGTACGTTGACCGCATCGCTTATGTACTCTGCTAACAACCAACAGCCACCATAGCCGATGCTTCTTTACTATCTCCCCAGCCGGGGACCTGGTTCTCTGTGATGCAAGCAAGGATACTCGCCCACAGTTGGTTGCGACACCCAAGTCGGCTCTCGAAGCGGCCATGTTCCGGCTTCGCTGGAACGGCGACCACTGCGCCTTACCCACGACCGACCATCTCACATTCTACATCAAGTTTCCGAGCGGTGAGAGGTTTGCCGTGGACTGGGGTGAGAACTTGATCACCTCGAGAGCGATACGCGAGACCCGGCAGGCGCTGGCCGAGCAGTACGTGCTCCGTAAAGACGCTGTGGGCACGGGAGAGCTTCCTTTCGCCGTCAAACAGATGTACCCGAAGGAAGTCTATAACTACCACTGTCTAGGTTACGGCGTGTCGGGCGTCGTCCACCACAAGGTGGAAATTCGCGATGGCGCGGAGTATGCCGTCAAGTCGATTCGGAAAGAGTTTCTAGGAAAGCCCGAGTACTTGGATCTTTTTAAAAAAGAAATAGCTCTCCATGCCTCTCTCGTCCATGTAAGTCGATGCCAGCCATCTTTGATGTCACTCTCGCTAATTGTGAAGCCGCACATTGTCCCTGTGAAACATGAGCGAGGCTGGGGACGGTCGAATCCTCAAATTTTTTTTCCGCTTTATGACGGCAATGCGCGAGCTCTCGTCACCCAGCATGACTGCGAAAAGCTGTTCAACACCGAGAATAGCGAACATCTCTCCGCGTTTCTGGGCCAGTGCCTCGGCGCGCTGGACTACCTCGACGAGCGCAAAGTAGTCCACGGAGACATCAGGCTCGAAAATATCTTGTTCAAACAAAGCAACCAAGGCATCGAATTCTTCCTGTCTGGTTTCGGGTGTGCAACGAAAGTGCAGGACGCCAAAAATTGGTCAGGCGATGCACGGTATATGCCGCCCGAGCAGTTCGAGCACCAAGCCCTCCCCAGTCCGAAATCAGATATTTACAGCTTCGGCATGACCAGTCTCGAGTTTCTCGGCAGCCTGTGCCGCAGGGAATATCAATGCGGCGGGGAAAAATGGCGTACGAAGTTGCGGAATAGCGGCTGCACGGTCAAGTACAACAGGGGCGATTATTCCTCGAAATCGAAGTTCAAACACATTTCAAGAGTTCAGTTTTTGCGCAAGAACGGACTGCTGCCTAATGAAGTGCTGGAGGAAGTGCTGGGGAAATCTCACTGCCCGGATCCGGAGACCATTCTGGAGAAAATGCTCAACCCGGATCCGTGGGAACGGCCCCGTGCAAAGGAGCTCTTGGAGGATCTGAAAGATACCTTGGCTTCAAAGTGAAGATTAATGTTGATTGAAGCAGCCCAGCCACGCACTTTACCAGTCACACACAACCTTTTGTGGCGATGGACGATGGAGGCGTCCACAGACCTGTTTTTCCTTTGAGTTCTCACCCACCAAATAGTACTAATATCATTGGGTTTATTATCAATTACTTCGATCATCGATACATTACCCTGTCAACTGACAGCTCATTTTCAAATTGAAAACCATATTTCCATAGCTTTACAGTGTGCAGTTGAGGTTGGATACGGGTAGTAAGAAGTAGAATGATACTACAAGTAGAATTGGAACGTAAAGGGTAAAGGATTAACTAAAGAAATAACAACAAGGAAGAATAAGAATATTAAAACGTATCACCCTGGACTTGGGAGGGGCCTTTGAATTCGCGCCGCTCCACCAAATTCGAGGTCAGAGATGTTCTTCCCAACTCCACCGAGTGCATCACACCAAATTCCCCGCACTCAACACCTGCATCTCTCAAGTTCATCATGACCGAAGCAACCCCCAGCGATGACCACATTGCCGCATGCGTCAAGGAGATGGAGTCGCTCGGCCTGGACGACTACGGCTTCAATCTGACGCGCACACATTACCAAGACGAGGCGCTGTGGCAGGCCTTCCGCAAGGACTTTGACGACGCGCTGGAAAGGGGCGCCGACAACGCGCCGAAAGACTGCGCCGACGCGATGAAGAAGCTCGGCCCCAAAGTGATTACGCGCATCCTCGACGATGTCGACTTTGACCAACAGGGGCCAGAGGGTGTGTCGGCGGCGTTTCAACTCTTCTGCCTCGACAGCGACGATGAAGACGACAACGAAGACGAGGACGAGGCCGACGCCGACGCCGACGAGCCGTGGTCCCATGACATGGGACCGGGCATCATCAGAAGCATCTGTCTCATGGCGGATGAGGCGAGCATGCATTCCTTCGAGACTACGCCGTACGTCATTGCCGTCGACGCGCTGCTGCACACGGGCGCAGACCTCGGATACCCGGGATACTTTAAAGTCGCGATTGACAGTCTCATGCCCACCTTTTACGCAGCCATCAGTCACTTTGACCTGCTCCAGGTAGCTGCAGCGGTCGACGGGGACGGGATCTGGAGGAGAATGAAACAATGACATAATTAAATTCCCATGTATGTACATGCCGTCTATGACTAGTATCCAGGCACCTCCCTCGCAATCACATGCAGCCCGTCCTTGGGCTTAATCGTCACGCCGCCCCCAATCTTGAGCTTTTCCGGGTCCATGAGCGTCTTGTCCACCAGCTCAAACTCGAAGCGGCCAATCCACGCGGCCAGCAGGCACGCAAACTCGCCCTTGGCAAAGCCGGCGCCGATGCAGTTGCGCGGGCCGTGCAGAAACGTCATCATGGCGTAGTTGCTCTTCGCGCCGCCCGTCTTGTTGAGCGTGGCGACGCCGTCGTCGCGCACGTCGATCCAGCGGTCCGGGTTGAACGCCTCGGCGTCGTCCCCCCAGAGCCCCTTGTCGGCGTTGATGGCCCACTGCGGGATGGCGACCTGGGTGCCGCGCGCGACGGGCATGCCCATGACCATCGTGTCCTTTACGGCGAAGCGCCCCGTCACCGGCACCGCCGGGTACACGCGCAGCGTCTCGTTGACGACGGCGTTGAGGAACACCAGGCGGTCAATCTCGACGCTGGTGGGCGCGGGGGCGTCGTCGTCGTCGACGGACGGCAGGTGCGCGCGCACCTCGGCGCGCAGCCGCGTCTGCATCGCCGGGTTGAGGCAGAGGGCGTAAATGGCCCACGTCAGCGACGCGGACGTGGTCTCGTGGCCGGCGGCGAAGAAGGTCATGAGCTGGTTCTGCAGCCCCTCGTCGGTAAACTGCTCGCTCTGGATCGCAGTGGACAGGATGTCGACGTCGGGCTCGATGGTCTTGTCCTTTTCCTGCTCGCGGAGCTTGGCACGCTTCTCTTCGATGAGCTCCTGGCAGACGCGGCGGATGGCGTCCATGGCGTCGTCAAACCGGCGGATGCGCTTCACCGGCAGCTTGAAAATCATCCACTGCGGCATCAGCTTTCCGAGCGCGAGAAAGATGCGCAGCAGCGACTGGTCCTCGAAAACGCGCGTGTACTGCGCGACGAGCTTGTTGTCCGGGTCGCGCACGGCGGAGAAGTCGTGGCCCATGGTGGCCATGCCGATAATGTCCAGCGTCACGCGCGACGCCCAGGGCGTGACGTACATCTGAGCCTCGCCGCCGCGGACCCTCTTGGTGAGGGCCTGGACGACCTCGCGCGACTTGTCCCAGAACACCGGGTACAAGTTCTTGACGAGGCGAAAGGCAAAGGCGGGCTGCATGTGGCGGCGCTGGCGCTGGTGCTCGTCGCCCTCGGACGTGATGAGGCCGACGCCGGTGACGGTGCTGAGCGCGCTGCGCACGACGCTCTCCTTCTCCCAGTCGTAGGCGTTGTGAACCGTGATGTCGGCCACGGCCTGGGGGGAGATGGCGAGGAGCCGCTCGATGTTGAACGGCATGAAGAAGCGCAATAGCCCATCGTGCTCGACCTCTTTATTCCTGGTCCCCATGTTAGCGAAAAAAAGAAAAAAAAAGGTCTCACACCGATGACGGCGTCGGCTTACCAGGTCCGGGAGCATCGACCGCCCGGCGCACTCCAGAGCTGCAGCATGTGGCCGAGGAGCCAGTGGCGGTCGGCGGCCGTCGGCAGGTTTCGCGTGGGCGATACGTAGAACGGATAGATGAATGTAAAGTAGAGAACGCAGACGACGAAGTTGCCGATGACGAAGAGCCCGAATGACAGCGCGAGCGATGAGAGCTTCACCTTCCCATCGCTTGAGCCATTCCACCACCTGAGCGCGAGAGTCTCCAGCGCCGCCGCGACCAGCACGACCGGCCGGGACAGACGCATCGGCAGAAGCGTGCGTTGCGACATTCTATAAGGATTTTTCTGGCGATGCATTGCTCTCCAAACCTTTGTGCTGCAGTCGACTGTCGAGGTCCTTCTATATAGTCGAAAGCTTGCAGCGTAGCGGAGTCTCGGCGGAACAGGTGGTGATTACCCTAGCAAGGCGTACTACTCGGGGGTGCTAGGAATTCGAGGCTGGTAAATTCGTTGAAGAGTTGCGCGTCTCTCTGCCTGGCGATGATGGGCAATATCCGAGGTAGCTGGAGCAGGCAGAATGAACGTGCGACGCCTGGCGGTTCTGGCTTGTTTCGCGGACGCGCGGCGATCTTGGAGACTGCTACCTAGGCTTGTTAAGAGGCGGCTTGTATCGGGGTAGGTAAGAGGAAGGAAGAAATGACATGTACAAGTGAAATGGGATAGACAGCATTTAAAAGAAAAATAATATTGATAAATGGACAATGGACAAAGTTGACGTCGCTCACCTCCAAGGCTTGTCCTCTGGTGATGAGCGGCTGCCTGACCTTCACCGGGCCGGTTAGGCGTTCCGGTCCCGCGAGCGGGTGCGGGTGACACTTTTTCTGGATTCATTCTTCTGTACAAATTAGGCAACATCAGTTAGGATTCACTGGGGCGCAGCCGTCGCCGTCACACCTCTAGCCTGCCATGGGGAGTGCGCTGCCTGTTGACGTCGTGGGACACAGCCTCCGAGTCTGTTTCTTTTATAGTGTCTTGAACAAGGCGGCGCCACAGAGAGGCAGACAAGTTGTTGTGTGTTCCGTGACGGCACAGCCACAAAAGTCTTTGAGTGAATACGGGCAATAGACAAAGGGCCGCAGCGGGAGGGAGCCTAGTCGTAATAAAGGACGCATAATTGGCCTGGAGAGGGACAGGGTGTGGAAGAGGCGCCTTGCTACCTAGTTTTTAGACTTCCATCAACAAATTCATCCCCTCAGCCTGGTTACCATCGCCAGCACTAGGCAGAAACGGACTGGCAAGCCAAGGTGAACGCTCAGGTATGTGACAAAAGGTCAGACTTGGTATGCTATTCAAAAAAAGCCGACATGAATTATTTACAAATGAAGAAGCGCCTTGAAAAGTTCCACCCCAACCTGGCCAAACTTGACCTTTTGGCTGACATCCCCGCTGCGCAGATGGACCGCGTCCACGCTCGACTTTGTCCAGTCGATGCAGCGCACGCTGATCCAGCGCAGCCTCGACTTCTCGCGCGACACAAACAGCAGCGAGTCAATCGACTGCACGTACACAATCTGGCCCTCCTGCGCGAGCGTGGGCGTGCAAAACGGGACGCGGCGGCTGGCCAAGTCGTCGCCGTCGAGCAGCGCGTCGAGCAGCGCGCCGTCGGCGCAGTCGCGCGACGCGCACGCGCGCACCTTGGCCGCGGCCTCGCTGCGCCGCTCCGAGCGGCACTTGGCCGCGATGAGCTGCGCCG